AGCCGTAACGGTACATCTCAGCTAACTCCTCCCCACCAGCCGAACGCCTAGCCCCCCCCCCCCCCCCCCCCCCCTTCAAAAGCTAGACCCATAAATCTGCCCTTGTCGAGGGCGCTGGTGATAGCACACCAAAAAGCTTCCGTTTTTTGTCAGGGATGTTGCAGGTTTGATGGGCACTGCTATACCAATTAAGTGCTAAACAATGAGGTGCACTTTGATGTCTGATCTGGCAGTGGAATATGCGCAGGGTAGCCTTCTCCAAAAAAGCAATCTACTGAAAGCTTAGTATTTGTTACTGTAGAATTTGAAATGTAATTGGTACCTATGTATATAAAACCTGTCACGAAATTCTTCAGTTGTCTTCCTAGTTTCTGTCAAGATGTCTGGCCACTATATTCGTCAGTTATCCGCTTTGCGATCCGTCAGTAGAAAAAAGGGTAATAACTTGACACGAAGACTCAGAAACAAATGTCCAGCTGAATGCTTCCGTTCTGGAACCTGAATGCAGCCTTGAACTTATCCTATCTCTGGCGCTCATATCCAACGACTACCTTCCAGTGGACTGCTGGGCCGTGTAGCTTGCAGGGTGCGATAGCGAAAGCAGTTATCTTTGTTCTCACTGTTATGCGTGTGCGTAGTTGCGCTCTGTCTGCGACCAAGTACTTGATGCAAAGGACACAGGCCTTTCAATGCCTTTTTCTCGCACTTGGCTCAGTGCAGCTCCCAGCCCACAAGGAGAGGGGTCGCACGCCAGCTCTATGAGATTTTCTAAGAGTTGGAAAGACCATGCAGTTATATGTATTCTACCAATTCAAAACTGAATATTTTCTAATTGCAACACACTTTTATTTTTATTTTTTTTTCAGAAAAGGTGCTCACCATTTTCTGTAGTTTTGGTGGCTGCTAGCGCTGGAACTTGATGTCACCAGTGGCAGTCATCCAGCCACTCTCTATGACCTGCGGGATCCCTGGGGGAAGTTGGTTATCCAGTGTGTGTTTAACCAGCGGTCTCGGCGGGCCTCACGACCTTCGGCCAGTCGCGTCTGAGGATGCGATCGCTTAGCACTGGAGTGTCAACGACGAGCAAGTTGGCGATGGTTCTGTCTTCCGCAGTATGGCTTCGCAGCGCCAACTCGATTTCACGCTGGGATAGTTAGGCGCACACAAGTCACCTGGCCAACCAAGCACTCTATTTGGGGCCGACACTCATTCACAAGGTACCTGATTACGTCGCCGGCATCACCCAAACGTCTGCGTAAAGTCATAGTATGTTAGTAGGTACGGTGGCTTGTCTTCAAACCAGCATTCATTTGCTGTGTATATTTGGACGCCGTGTGTGCCACTAATTGCTGTAGCAACAGTACTTATGCAACTGTTCGATAGAAGTTTCTCCGAGGCGAAGCTTGCGAAATGAGTCTACGACGAAGAAGACGGTCTTCTCAAGAGCCGGAGACGTTCAAACCAAGATGAACCCATACCGACGTGATAGAAATGGAAGCGCAATACGGCATCCAGGATCCCATGAGGATGTAGAAGTGAACACGGCAGTCGAAGATCGATCGTGAGGGCCAGCCAGAGCAAGCAAGCACTACCGAAATCACCGAAAGCGAGCAAGCAGTCACCTGTAGTGGCATAGCACGGGAGGCTCGGATTACGGATTGGCTTATGACGACATGAATTCGGCTAAAGGTTTCCCCCGCCTTCGCCTCATGGTTGCCACAAAACATCTAGTTTTTGTTTGAAACCAAACTTATTTAAAGTCAGTGTGAGCAACTTTCTCCATCCCGGTTTTCTGTTATCTTTTGTTGTCAAACACAAAGAGAGTTTCGCCGTTTTAAAATTGTTTATTGACGCAAACGGGCACTGTATGCCCGAGGCGAGTTTGCGACCGCAATCGCATTAAACATCACCTAAATGTCATTTAGAGCTGTCGTCTGGCAGGTCCCTTCTTGGATGTAATTTGAAAATCCTGAATGTCATTTGACGTAAATGGTATTTGAGGTTCCGTCTGACAGGGGTATTACAAGGCAGGTTTTTATTTTGAGGAACATAGTGAAATAATTGCTTTCTTGTTGCCACCCGGCTTGCACTTCCTTCCATGAGCTAATATAATTCTAAAATAAGTAAGCAGGCACTGCCAAAAAATAAGTTATGACGCCATAACTTCAGTAGCTAGCCTGCAAGTGCGGAACCGATAACCTATAGCTCAAAGCGTTTTTCTTTTCCTTTTATTACAGTTGTTTGTTTTGGGCCCCTGATGGCAACGTACTGCTCGGTTTAGCAATCACGCTTGTCACTTTGGGCGGACTCACGAACACGCTATATCTCGTCAGTATGTTTGCCGTCGTCACGACTCGATTCCGGAAGAGCCCCGGCTATATCATAGTAAGTATTTTACTTCCCAGTCATATTTGGCGTGACACATTCGTGTGTGTGTAGAAGAACTCAAACTGGTGGTTGAAAAGCGCCCTCTTCTGGTGTGTTTCGCATAATATGCGCCGCAAGCATAACTCACAAGAGCCATACGGCAAGTCTACGAGCTGTCGCTGTCCTGGCAAAGATGCCGGCGCACAAGACGAGCGCATGCAGGCGTCAGCTTCGCCGCTGTTTTAACCAACTAGTTAAAGTGGTTTAGGAAATATATTTATGCAGGCGCTCTTTTTTTAGGCCTTCCTAGAGTTCCTGTGGGGATCCGGAACCATGGTGGGAGCGGCGATCGGAGGAGCTCTGATTGACGTGAGCGTACCAATATCGATACCGTCCGCTCTTCGCTTAAAAAAGTGTCTTAGGTACCGGGCTCAGAAGTTGACAAATTGAAAAAAAAAAAAAAAAAAAAAAACTATTTTCCACATCATGTTATTTTTTTTTTCAAGCATATTTTTTTATTTATTTATTTAGTGCTGCACACGCGGTTACAATATATTTTGTGTTTCTTTTTCTGTTTACAAGGAACAGGTAGTAGAAGGGAAGGAAGTTTCAATTTATAATCTTCCCTAACTTTGTTGTCTGTATCTGCTTTGTAAAGCTTTAAAAAAAAAAACGCGTCCCGCCTTCTTTTTTGTTTTTGTTTATTTGTTAGTGATAATACATAATTTAGTCAGAATCGCTGGCATGTACAGTGCCCCAGGTGCACTTAAAATGCTCACAACTATTTTTTTTGTTTTCATTTTAACCAATTATAATAGGGGTTCGTACCGTACTCGGGCGTTTTAGTGAGAAAGGGTGTTGGCCTTTCGCGCTCGAGACAGTACGCCAGGTTTTATGATACCCATCATTTTCACGATTGGTTCAACTGATGAAATGTCTCGATGATTAGGTTTTTTGTTTTTTTTTCCTTTCATCGTGCTGGTCTAAACACGAGATACTTGTGATAGACTTCAATATAAACTTGTTACTTGTTGTAACAGAGTTTTTTGCATCGACTAACTATTATTAAGTACATGGATTTCTTTTCCGCCTGCATTTAAAACCCTGTATTTTTTTTCTCGCTTCTATCTAGGTGTGGGATTTTCCTCTTCCTTTCTTTGTGCTGGGCGTGATTACATTCTTAATGTTCCCAATCATCATCAGAATCGGACGGAACCTGAATAACGCTGGTGGTAAGATTCACGTAATACAAAAATATTTGGCAGTGAAACCGGTATTTAATCCCTTGTCGGTATTATATTTCTACAGAATGTGCTTCCGTGGACGCAGCTAAAAGGGAGCCAGACATGAAGTATGCTCGTTTATTATGGGATCCCGAATACTTGGCGGCACTAATTACCCTCACGTTAAGCTGGATCATGTTCGGTTTCAATGAGCCAACGCTGGAACCAAGTCTTAGAGAGGTAGGTTTGTGACATGATGTTAGCCCGAAATTGTCTACTGAAGTAAAAGCGCCTGAAAAATGTCTCCGGCTGGCGTGTTTAACGTTTTTACCACCTGTACGTTAAAGTATCCCTGAAACGCACACAAAATAAGTAATTCAAGCCGCGCGCAAGTGTGTTACGAATTGCCACGATCATGGCGGAAGGTTACGGAAGCAGCACCTCCAAAGAAGACGCGAGCGCACGTAGGGGTCGCTATAATGGCGGACGTGCCGATAGTGCACCTAGATTTGAGAGTGTTTCCAACTTCCGTGTCGGGGACCCGTGTTTTCTGAGTATGGTTTGCGATAGGAGGTGCCAGGAGGAAGCGAAAGCGTCGAAGGCGTCAAATACTTTGGAGGGAAGGTACATTCTACTTCGCACATTTGCATTAGACAGAGCGCCTAGAGCGCCAAACCCTTTCCCAGCGGAGCGGGAACACCGAGTCTCACGAGAACGCATGCGCATCGCACTGTCCAAGCTGTCCCGCTTTCGCGCCTTGCCGAATTAGAAGGCTGTCGCCGATACACCGAGATAACGCGGACTCGCCGAGAGAGCGTTTTCGCTGCCCAGACGGGTTCACTCCATGGCGATAGATGGCGGCAGACACCGCTCCTCTTTCAAAATGCAAAAACCCCGATGCTGCGCGTCCAGCAATTCCAGAGGCGCAAAACCTCTCGGTGCTGAGGCCATTGGATTTTCACGTAATGGAATGTATTTTCTGATAAAGTGTTTGAAGACGTCATGCATCTCGGCCTTACTCGTCCTCTCCTTCCGCTATTCTTCTCGGCACGCGACAACGCACGTCTGCGGGAGGTGTCCGCCATTAAATTGCGAAAAATCTCTCCATGGTTTGAGCCGCTCTTTCTGTGAAATCTGGACTCCCTGTGCTCAAGCCCGTGAATACTGGAGTTTTTTTTTTTTTTTTTTGTCTACAGCGCCGGCTGCAGGAGAGATCAAAAAGCGGAACGAGCGCAGACGCAGCTGTGCCGCCGCGCAGCATTGTTCAGTGCGATTTCATCGAGTGAAAACGCAAAATAAAGACGCAGGAGACAAACCAGTCGGAGACAAAATGCAAACGCCATTTGAATACAAAATATATATATATATATATATTTTTTTTTTTTTTTGCAGTTCAACCTTTCCAGTACGGAGACAGGCATTGTGTACACGGTGCAATTTGCCAGCTACGCAGCCGGTGGAGTAGTTGCAGGCGCAAGCTGCTCATTCCACGTAAGCTGAGTTGAGAGATGGACTATATGCCGTCAGAGTTGCATCCCCGAGATTCATTTCATATGTGACATGTATTTATGCTGGCCGAGGTTTTTAGTTGTACATGACATATGAGAGCCCAACTACCCAGAAGAGAATTTGCGGCTCGAAATTCAGTTTCTTTCCGCTTGAAAACCGTCGATCGAGAACTGGCCGGTTTGAGTCGCGCTCACTTTTTTCGGAGAGTCAAGGGCTGTTTTCTAAGGTTTAGCCACAACCACCAAATTTAATCAAAGTTGTAAGTCATTGAAAGCACACACTCAATAATAAAAAAAAAAATGTGAAACACATTTTTTTTGTGTTTTCTAAAAAGCTGCAAATACCTTGATTGAAAAAAAAAAGTTGCACAGAGAATCGGAAGCATTCTGTGAGTTCACTGGGTAACTTTCAACATGGCGTCGCTTCGCGTATCGTGGGACTCGCGGACGACGGGCGTGGGACCCCTGCTTCAGAACTGTCGCGCGCGGTGCCGGCGAATTCTGTCTTCTTTCGAAAGAGAAATTTTGAACTGATTAAAAGAATTGGCATTCACTGCGTGCAACACGCCTGACCACCAAGCGATCTCCACGAAGGTGCCGCTGACTCGTCGCCCCCTTCTCGTAGCTGAAGATATCGCTCGCGGAAACGTCAAGCACGAAGAGCGAACTTCGATTTGAATATGCACGCGTACGATTTCTTTACTAGGTGCGATGTGTCCGATGCGTGGTGCTGCCCGAGTTCGATCCGGGAGCGCTTTTCCTGGTGGTAAATCGGCAACAAGCTTTCCAACCTACAGTAGACCGGCCGCATTACTGCGAAGAGTTCCATCAGTAGCTCAGTGGAGATATGTCCACTTTACAAGCAGCAGAAGCAGGAGACTCAGGTTCAATCCCGCGTGTAAGCATACCGTTCTTTGTTTTGTTTTTTTGTTTGTTAAACATTTCGAGATTTTCAAAATCTTTTTTTTTTTTTTACAAGTGTCACTGAAAAAGACAAGGGTTGTGGACAAAACGTCGCTCAACTAAATAGTATGGGATTTTTTTTTTCTTTGAGACCTGCGAACTCAGTGTAGTCACTTTTCACAAAATGCATGGAGTATATAAATCGGCCAGCGTCTGCTTTCCGAGGTGCCCGTAAATATTCTACAGGAATTGCAGCCAGTCATTGGTCCCGATCTCGTTGATCTTCAGGAAACTTGTGAAGACTCTACCGCACAATGCCACATTCGGATGCAGGATATGTAAGGCAGCTCTTTACGCAACATCTTGGGTTATTATTAGGGAGTTTTCGTAGATCGTTTTCGCCGTCCCGCAAGGCCCTCCGCAATCCGCTACGATAGCGGGAACTCCACAGTCAAGGCTATCGGCGCGCAGGCGCAGTAGCAACTTCTTCGTTGCGGAACGCTTAGCGGAGGGGGCAACGCGGTCTACGAAAACTCCCTATTTTCGAAGCCGATCACGGTAATTCTCCGCGGGCACTCACTACTCATTTCTAACTCTTCATTGTATGAAACGACACATTCTGGGAATAGCGAGCGGAACAAACATAACTGCAAAGTAATCGCATGGCAAACGGTTCCCGGCCGCAACACACCGTCGCCTGCTGCGCGCAAAAAAAAAAAAAAAAAAAAAAAAAAAAAAAAAAGCGCACGGTCGGGTGTGGCCACGGGTCCGTGCTCAGGTTTCAATTTTGATTTTAAGCAGTTGCGTTTTTTTTTTTTTTTGTTTTTTTTTTTTTTTTCAGAATTATAGGTGACTTTAGCAAAATATTAATTTGGTAGACTTCCGGCACCATAATAAATCGGCTGGCAAAAAATGAAGAAAACATTTTGGGGGTGTTAGTGTCGCTTTAAAAGGAAAGGCTAGCTGTGAAAATATCCACAAAAAGTGGCGCCTAAGGTAACCGTCCAATGCTCGAATTTTCATCAGCGGTGTTCACCGAGTGAGGCTTACCTTACGACATTTCGAAGCGTAAATTCGCTTATGCATACAACAACAAACGAACTTTGAGACAGATTTGAGTTGTTCGATAGTGGTGTGATTATATTTGACTGTTTCAAAGTGCTCGATTGCGGTCATGTGGAGTATGGGCTACGTTTCCAATATCAAGCTGCAATGAGAAGGCGAAAGATTTGCTAACGTCTCCAGGCTTTCCTCTCCCTCTCCAACCTCTATCTCTTTGGCCACGTGGTGAATCACGCTTACGAATGGGCAACCGATCTTCGCATGGAATGTCCGCCTTTAAATTGCAAACAGGCTCCATGCCTTTAATTGTCATCCCCCTGAACCCTCTACCCAGTGGCGGATCCAAGGGGGGGGGGGGGGGGCGGGGGGGGCGATCGCCCCCCCCCTCCTCCCGGGGGTTCTTCGTCAGCTCGAAGAAAAAACGTAAGCAATCGACGCGAGGGACGAAGGATTAAAACAGCGGTGGGTGGACGCGCCTGCTGGACGCTTCCAAAGTGGGGTTTATCTCCGTCAAGGTCACGGTACGTCTTCCCGACAGGGACGGCGCCAGGAATTTCGAAGTGGAGAGACAGTGGGGAGGCGCACCAAATATCAGGGTCCTCGACTGCAGGCACACTTCCAAACAAGACCACCACGTCGGGCACGGGGGGACAATACCTTCAACATATCTAGTCCCCTTTCTCTCTCTCTCTCTCTGTCTCCCTCTCTCTCTTTAGAGGTTGTCTGCGAAAAATTTTTGCCCTGAAAGCTCCCAAACGCAGACGCCAAGCAGTCTTCCTCAACGGTACTATCCTATAGACCTTTTCTGCAAGTGTGCCTCCATCTTGAATTGACGTCACTTCCAGTATGGGCGAAAACATTGTTTTGCCTTTGCCACGCCAATAGAAGGCATTTAGGATATAAGCGTAACCGCCACACTTTGTCATTTTGACTCCCCTTTATTTTTTTACTATTTTCAGATAGAAACGTTGGATTATTTTTTCGTCGCCCATACCGGATACGCCTATTAGGTGGCTGGAGACGAGAATACAGAGAAAAGGTCGATACACAGCGGATTATTCTTCCTCTCTAGCGGCCGCCTTTTCATCACTTTTCGTTTGATGGTTTCTTCGTGGTTCTGGGCTTATCTTTTGGCATGTCTTTTTTTGGCTTGCTTTGAGAGGCTGTCGCCCACGGGCTCACTAAAGGTATCTTATTGGCACTGTGTGCTCATTGCCAAGGGAAGTGCGGAGGGGACGTACCAGGAAGAGACGTTCCATGTGGGGGGGGGGGGGGAGGAATGCAGCTTGTACTACCAGGTGACCAATTGCTTTTCTTCTCAACTGAGAGAGGAAGCAAATGCTCTGGGTACAGTGTAGTCTGGGTCTGAGCTTCTCCTGAAGACGCTCCGAACTTCCCCAAGACCTTGGCTTAAACATAAGCCCGCTTTCGTCCTCGCCTCCATCCCTCACTGAGGATCAGCGCCGCAGCGCAGAATACAGAAAGAAGCCGACGAGCGCCAGAAGGGGGAGACCTTTCCTCTAATGGGCTTCATACTGCCTGCGGTACGACTTCTCGTGGCGGGAAGCTAATAAAAGAAAGATAAACGGTACGAGCACTCTAAAGGCTGGAGGCTGCTTACACGGGGTCCTCAAGCCGACGCCGTAGGCATTTATTTGTATACAGTACCGTTTCAACTTAGGGTGGCGGGACATAGTTTAGGAAAGGCGCCCGCTACCCCTTGTCTCCCCTTGGCGCCGTCTTTAATTTTCGAGCTAAACGCGACTTCTGTGGATTGACGGCAGAGCTTTCGCGCGGCTTTGCAGGAGCGAATATGTGTGTGTCGAACGGAACAGAGGCGGGGCTTGCTGGTTTGCAACTGCGGCTTCGAATTCCCTACCTAGGGACTTGGGGAAAACGAGCCCTTTCAAAATTAAATAGACAGTGCCTGTGTCCGATTGCGTGAACACTGGCTCCCAAACATCCATGCTGCAGTCGTGATCGGCCTTTAGCCCAGTTGAGATTCGCCGACCGGACAACCGCTATGCCCCATCATATCTCTGCACCTGTCCGCTCGACCCTGTCGAATAAGCTAACTACCCAGAAACAAGTAACCCGAAGGAAAAATCCATCAATGTAACCCTGTTTGGCAGTCAATGTTTTCTAGTGGACCGCTGACTGTGCCTGACTGTACGTCAAGCATGTCTGATTGGCCAACAAGTTACTCTGACCGACAGTCAAACTACAGTCAGACTCTGCTTGTCGGCTTTCTGATGGTTTCCTGGTAGCAGTCGGCCGCCGCGAAATTCCATCAGGATGTCTTGGTGGCGATTCTGACTGTACATCGATTGTCTCTTACTGTACGTCAAAAAGCTTTGACGTGCAGACAGACGTACGGTCAAAGGACGTAAAGTTCGTTCGGACACCACTATTTCGTCAAATCTATGAATACGAAAAGTAATCTATGCACGAGAAAACGATTTCGGGACGTGAGCCCATAAAAGCGCTGACGTTAGATATTTGACACGCAACCGACCGACAACCTTGATCAGAAGCCCGCCGAAGCGCCGAAAACGACACTTCGCTTCGCCCATAGACGCTTCGCCGCTTCGCCGAGCTTTCATGAACGATCGCTCTCGACTCGTTTTGTTTGCCCGCTTGCTCCAACCTGTCGATCCTGCCAGGGTTCTACAATGACTTATGTTTTAGTAGAATTTCTACCCGGCAAGACCCAGCCTGTTGTGAGTTCCGACGATGTAAGGGACTTTAGCGGTGTAGTTGAAGACGACAAGGTGTACCAGGTCTACTGGGCCGGTGACGCGCGAACAAAAGGATCGTTCTACGACGCGAAAGTACTCTACATGGCAGGTGAGTAGAACTGAAGTACGGCGAGTGATGTACGAGTGCTTTGCATGACATGCTGACGGCTTAACTGCATTTGCAGCCGAAGCATCTCGTATAAAAGGATTAGTGAAATCGAGTTTCGAAAACGGTTCCATAGCATAGCGGTTAAGGTGTGCGATTTGTACGCAAGTGGTCGCGGGTTCGAATCCGCGCTTGTCCTGCTTTTTTTCTTCTTTTTTTCTTGAACATTTTGTTTTATCGAGGCATTTGGCGATATTTATGAGTGCGTACAGCTTTACTCTTATATAAATGCTGCCCTTGTTGATGAAATTCCCCTGGCAGTGGCAGTCAGACGTCATCTGATGGACCATCAGATGACGTCTGATGGTCCATCACGTTCCACCAAGGCTGCTGACTGGCAGTCAGTGTCCCAAATTACGTACCTTGATGGAATTTTCAATAGGGAAGAGTTCCTTTCATACAGAAAATATCCAGACAAAGTGCAATTGAATATAATTTAGAAGGATCCATTGCTGGTTTAAGGTCTTGTCTAAGTTTAAAAGTTATAGTTGCCGAACTGCAACATGCTTTCAAAAATATTCAACAATTATTCGCTTTCGTTCTCTCGAGTTGCATCCAGAACACGTGAAAACACGAGTTTGGGTTGGCAATGCCGCATGTGCTGCGCTCTGGACATTCCAAATATACGGCGAAGAACCGACGAACTTGCCTGGCAGCGTTCGTTTCGCTCACTGCGTCAACAGTGTTTTGACGCCGCGAGCAGCGTCGAAGCTGCCGGGCCATCTTTGTCGCTTGTTTGCAACGTACTCGCTCCATTGAAGCAACCGGCGACAATGAAAAGAATGTTTTAAAACCACGTTCTGCATTTTGGCACCGAATATAAAGCTCTAACTACTATGCCAAGCTTAATCTCAAAGAACAGCCAAGTTTTAGATTAAAAGTTTTTCGGAATGCCATTAGCTGCATGAGCTTCCTCCGTACAGTTGGAAAAGGTTGGCTCTCCGTACATGCTCTGCGGGTGTAACGAGACTATATAAATATTCAAGCAAAAGAAGCCCGAAAGTTGTAGCCCCGCCGGGGATATCTGAG